AATTAAAAAATAGCAAAGTGCAGGGTGGGGCGGGGGCTATCCCATCTGACTTCGGGCGGAAGGCGGACGACACCCTAAACTGGTCGCCAGTCAGTCGCATTGCACATATAGAGACAAACGGCCAATCACACCCACATCCACGCCGTCATCGAGTACGAAGCGATCACACGCTGCCTGCACACAAGTCAGACGAGTGGACCACTACACCATCAGTGTACATTACTTCCCGTAAATATAGTTCGGGAGGATACATTTTAGTCTGATCTTTCCGAAAACAATAGCATACAAGTGTTTTGATGCAGTGAATGAAAAAAAAAAGGAGCAAAGAAGTGGAAAAAAAAATGAATAGCTTCACATGTGATCAAGGAGAGCCGTTTTGCATGGATGTCAAAACAAAATGATGAATTTTTTTTTTCTTCTTCAAAGTGAAAAATAAAATCACGCTCGATTTCCTGATGATTTCCATATCTGTCATATCACGTTTCCATTTCGGGATATTTCCAAACTTCCCACAGCTGTGTTAGCCGCAGTTTGGCTCGCTTGTCACATTTGATGAAAATAAAAAAAGTTTTTTGTGCGTATTATTTTTACATGTTCTGAAGCTGGGTTTTTTTTTTTTGGAGACTTTGGTTTGGATCGGCTGTGACTATTGTGGCGCATTCGAGTCCATCTGTTTCTGATGTTGAACAAGCAGGAGCACCGTTTGAACACGAGTGTTAGCCTCTCACGCTAGCTACCAACTGACTCATTTGCAGATTACATTAACATGACAATAGCGATTGATTTAATGTGAAACTTGTGCGACCATGTGTCATTCAATAACATCGTCTAGTTGAACTTAACCATCACGCAGACGCTTCCAAAATCTGAAATCAAAATCAAACAGATTCAAAAAGATTTTCTCTGAAGTAAACTTAGGACACATTTGTTCATTTCAGTGTTTTACGGGTTTTTCGTTGATTTATTCATGCCGTAGGGATGGTTCTTTTGGGACTTAGCATGAAGCCTGGCTTTGGTTTTGGAAGGTTTGCACAGTCTGTTGCCTTGATAGCGCTCGCATGACTTTTTGTATTGTGTCAGACGGGTCGTCACCCAAATAAGCGCCATCTCGCTGCCCATGATTGTCACATGACTCAACTTTGCAATAATGACCTCCACTGAGAGGGGACTTGCTGCTGTAATGAAGTGGATTAGTCAAATGCTACATTCAAAGCTGCAGTGGCCCGACTGTTTTGTGTTGCATGCCAGAGGACAATGCTGACATTTGAATCTCATTCAGGAGAACAAAGCATGACGTAAAAATGACTCTTTTGGGTCCTGTATAGAAATTATTGTCATTAAAATTCACATTTTGGTGTTTAGACATCATAATCAATGATAGGGAAGTCAGGAAAACTACAACGACAGACGCTAAGAGTAGCTGCATCGGGAGAGACACCCCCACCCCCCAAACAAAACAAAACACTGCATGACTTTGATTTCCCTTGCACAGGGTGCGTATTGAAGGACTGCTGACAAAACAGCAAACAACTTTCATGCAAAGGACAAAACACCGGCAATGTATTAAACTTTACAAAAACATCATGTTGCCATAAGGTGGCGCCAGAATATACTTTTATTACATTACTGATCGCCACCCCCCCCTCCAAAAAAAGGCAAAGGCAACTTTTTTCCGCAAACAAAGGATAGGTTAAAAAATGTGTGAATAGGTGAATACACAAACACCACCACCGTTTTCGCTTCATGCCAAATGTCACCATTCAGGAGACATTTTTTTGTGGGGCTTGTTGAAGCAAAATGATGGCCCGGTAGACCACACACAGCCTGACTCTCCGACCCTTTTGTCTTTGCAGAAGCACAATTTCGTTCCACCGCCTCCTAATCTCCCACCTCTGAGCCCCCTTTCGACACTTCACCCGCCCGTGCGCGCCTTCCTTGGATCGAGCTGCCACGCGCGTGCCCAATCATGCCAAACAACACCCGAGTAACCCAGCTGGAACACAGCAGTGAGCCGGTCACCGAGTCCGTGGCCGACCTGCTGTCTCTGGAACACCCCATGGACTACAAGAGCAGTCAGATGAGTATGGGCCTCAGTCCGGGCTCCACCGCCCCGGTCCGAGCCCTTCTGCCCTCCCCGGACCCCGACGCTGAGGACGGGAGGCCGGCTTGGAACAATAAGCTGGAGTACATCCTGGCCCAGGTGGGCTTCTCGGTGGGCCTCGGCAACGTCTGGAGGTTCCCGTACCTGTGCCAAAAGAATGGTGGGGGTAGGTGAAGCCAATGAATGCCATTTTTGGTGAATGTTTTGCGCTCCATATATGTACAGTAGGGGGGCCGCACGGTGGGCGACGGGTTCGCGCGTGCGCCTCACAGTGCAGAGGACTAGGGTTCAATTCCGGGCTCCGGCCTTCCTGCGTGGAGTTTGCATGTCCTCCCCGTGCCTTCGTGGGTTTTCTCCGGGTACTCGTGTTTCCTCCCACATTCTGAAAACACGGAACACTCGAATTGGCCCTAGGTGTGACGAGTGTGAGCGCGAATGGTTACATGTCTCTGTGTGCCCTTCGATTGGCTGGCAACCGGTTCAGGGTGTACCCCGCCTACTGCCCCAAAGACAGCTAGGATAGGCTCCAGAGCGCCCGCGACCCTCCTGAGGTTCGGCGGATTAGAAAACGGATGGATGGATTTATACAGTCTAGTGTTTTCCAATAATACTCAACTATATTGATCATTTCTTCTGTACTTGTGGATGAAAACGTCAAATTTTGGAGCGTGTCTGTGTAAGTTAATGAATGGAGGAAACGGTATCCACACTGTACTGTATGTATGGCTATAGACTAATACATACATACTATGATTGTTATGTATTGTATATATTGTTACGCACGCGATGGTCAATCGTCTGGCGTGCGGCAGAATGAATGGAGGAAACGGTATCCACACTGTACTGTACGTATGGCTATAGACTAATACATACTATGATTGTTATATATTGTATATATTGTTACGCACGCGAGGGTCAATCGTCTGGCGTGCGGCAGGCTGGCCACTGTATTATTTTCACTGGTTCCCCATTGGGTCCCCT